CCTGTTTTCAGCTGTTTTCATTGAGAAAGCTTGGCATTTGAACGAGTTCACACTGACTCAAAATTCCTTCAACTGGACTTCCAGGTTTTTGCTCTTTTTTTCTAGTCAACGAGCTCATTGAATTTTTAAGCGGAGGATTTCATTCTCAGCTTTTCTTGTCAAGACACCGGTTTGAATCCCTTCGGCTTTTCACTTTTGTTTTGAGTAGTCTGTAGAGGTGTGTTCTGGCTTCTTTTGAGCTTTTACATCTTGACACATCGTTTTTTTCTTCCAATACAATCCTTTTCGAGCTATCTTTAAATTATGGTGAATACTTATCGAGCATTTCTAAGCTGTCATTAGACTATGCTTGCCGTCCTCATGAATAACCAGCGTAGTTACTAAAACGAGGAACGACCTACAACCACCTACAACGACCTACAACCACCTACAACCAGCTACAACCAGCTACAACCACCTACAACCACCTACAACCACCTACAACCAGCGATAAAAATGTACAATGATCAATAAAAGTGTACAAAAAATGGATTAAAAATGTCTAGTCCACCTCGTTCTGATTTGTTTATGGACTGTAAACGCTCTTTGATTATTCGAATTACCTTACCTAAAATAATACAGTAACCCTAGTACTACTTTAGTAATCTAAAGTAAAAAAAAGACGTTTTCTCGAGTCGTCTGTATTTAAAAAACATGTAGTCTCCTCTCGCAGCCGTTAGGACGTTCGTTCCCAGGTGGAGTGACCTGGGAACGAACGTCCTAACGGCTGCGAGAGGAGACTAAAAAACATGGCACATTACTTGTATTCAAAACCACGGCTTTACGTTTCAAACACAGGAAGCCCAATGTATACACAAACAGAGCAAGTCAAGCTTGCCGTCTGAGTAATTAATTTCTTTTTCGTCTTCATTGCTATTTTCCTAGATCTTGAATATCATCATTTCAACTAAATTACAGAAATGTAATTTATGCTTAATTTTTATGTATTTTTTTTGTTTACTTTTTAGCACATTAAAGGCTCATGTGAAAGCTCAAGGGACTCCCCATTACAAAAAGGGGTGGGGTCCTCGTCGGAAATCCTGAAAATGACCCCTCAAAGGACCTGTATTTTGACATGATGGGTGTGGCAGTGCAGAAATTTCAATAAAAAAATCAATCATCTAATATTGCAGTTGTGATTGTTGTTGATCTTATAACTATTGCCTTGGGGTCGTCTAGCCTGTGTTCATCCTGGTGTCGGAGTTTACCTGTAAAAAATAAACTGGATGTAACACAGGCTAGGGGTCGTCATTTAGCCTAAAAAATTAACACAAAGCTCATTTTGTGACAATTGTCATCATTATCACCCTAAGCAGACCAAAAATCTGATTTCAAACATTAAAGGGCATAAGAGCCCCCACTACCCCCCTCTGTGTGAGAAATGCCTTGTCCACTTCAAAAACTATGATCAAAGTATATAAAAGCAAGCATATAAAAAACAAGAATTATCACTTCAACATTTTGACATGCATTTTGACATGCATCAATACCACTTTATTCAGCAATCTAAATGGTTGCTGCGCAAATGAGGTTCAACTTTGATTGGTGCAATTGTTTATAGAGAAAGGTACTTTGTCTGGAGCAACCAAATAGCATTTTAGTTCAATGGTTGTTGTGCAAGCTTTGATTGGTCCAAATTTTTGTAGAGAAATGTATTTTGTACAGCAACCAAATAGCAGTTTACTGAGTTATTAGCTCTATGGTTGCTGTGCACATGAATTTCTAATTTCATTGGTCTAAAATTTTATAGAGAAATTGTATTTTGCCCAGCAACGCAATTTGATTGGTTGACTGGATCATAGATAAAACTTTACAATGTCTCACTTTTGGATCAGTTCACAAGGAGTAATTACTTTACACCAGGTAAGATTTTTTGTTTCAGATTCTTTTACAATTACTAGTGCATATTTAAAAATAATTTTTATTATTATAGTATTTGTAAGCAAAAGTGCTGGCTATGAATTGAGTTTTTCGATCAAAACTACAAAAAAAAAAAAAAAAAAAAAAACCCACACACACACAGGTAGTCCAATTTTTGTGTCATTTTAATATAACTCTTACGGTGTATATGTAATGCTTTCTATTATCATCTGACTGAGTTCCAGCAATTCTGTTTGGAATTTAATCCTAATTCATTGACCTTATACATGAAGGATATAGATATTATCGGCCAATGAATGAGTTAATACCTGTTTGGTATATATAAATCAAGTCTTCCCCATCACCACCAAATGCACACTTCAGCGAAAACAAAACAAAATTGATGCAACATATAATTTAAAATTACCCCTTACAAGATACCAAATTATGTTGGGTGCCCAGCACTTTCAAAAGAAAAGAATGCTATTAGTTTTTGAAATTTTTTCTTTCACCTCTGTACAAATATCATGTGTTTTTTGTTTGTTTATTTGTTGTTTTTTTTTGCATTCAAAATGTTCAATAAATTAATAATAATGACACTTCTACTAGTTAATTTGTGAACTACATCAACTCTCCAAAATGTTGAAGTCAAGAGAAGATCCAGAAGGTAATCATAAATCATTTAATTACATGCATTTCAGCAAAAGGTGAAATATTGAGTGTTTGATTCTTAATTCTGTTAAAAAAAAATCTTATAACAGTATTTAATATGTTAACTGATAGTTCATTATTAAAAATATGTCTGCTAATTGTTTTCTAGAAATTATTACTATACTATCCGATGATGATGATGATGATGATGATGATGATGATGACTATGATGATGACCAATTGATGGAGTCTTTACCAATTAAGGTAAGCATACATTAGTAATGCCAGCTTGTAGATATAGGACTAGAGCTCTTTCAGCAGTAACCTGACAATGCACCAGCAAAATTGATAAGTCAATCAGCACTTTATTCCATGTTAACAATAATAGAAAGATAACATTTGTTTTGTTTATATAAGGTAAAGGATGAAAACTCTCCTCCACTTTTATTAACCAATACAAATGAAGAAACATCTATGAAAAACGATGCAAGGTAATTCATGATATAAAATAGTTTTTCATTACAAGTACAGTGTAGCTCAGTTCCTACACCGTCAACTATTTTCCACATTTATTTTTGTTCATTTATCTTTTGGGAAAGAATTTCTGCAAGTGACTGTAGGGAGAAACTTAAGCCAGTAATGCTTGACATGAAATTTTTCTATCACCAACAGCCACTCAACTATTCTCAACATACTACTACAAAACCCAGAAGAACTTGACTTCAAGCAAAAGCCCTCTGCAATCAGGGAAAACAAGATCTTCACCCTTGACATGAGAAATATTCCAATAAAGTCTGCAGAGTCAGATGACAATGGCGCTTATCTGTCAAGAGGAAGTGTTACACGATACTTTCTATACAATGATTCTGGTTCTGCGACAGCCCATAAGACGGAAAATGGAGCTTTTTATGTCAACATTAAAGATTCTAAATCGTACAAAAGAAAATTTGTAGATGAAAGAGAGGTTTATGAGCTTACCCATCGGTATCGCACAAGTAAACACAACCCAGATTTTTCCCGCACGATAGCATATGTAAAAGCGGCAAGTGACAAAGACCCCAAGCCCTACTATCTTGTGATGTATCGCTGGGCTAAAGATGATCAAGGACCATCTGACTTTATAGCACCACGACATGGTAACGCTAAGCGGCCAACAACTAGCACATACTACAAGAAAGACCCAAAACTGGTGTCAGAAGTGGATAAATTGTTAGAAGAAGGCATGTCCACAGACAAGGTTTATAATGAAATAGCCATGAAAACATCCACCGAAACAATGAGTGAGACACTCTGTGACCCTAAAATGGTCCACAATAGAAAGCTGGCATCAAAGAAATCCACAGCCACACCTGGCAGTTCCACAGACAGACATAGCGAAGCAGAAGTACTGGTATCAAGCCTTAAAAACCTTGACCTGATTAACACTGTAACCTTTACTAAAGACCAGTATCTTACTGTCAACTACCTGGCTTCCATGTTAAATGACATAAACAAATTCTGTGTTCTTGGAAACTCAATATTGCATGTGGACACAACATTTGAACTAGTGGATGGTCTCTGGCTGACTGACACTACATATACCCATGAAGGCCTCATTAATCTTAAAGGGAAACATCCAGAGTTCCCAGGCCCCAGTTTTTGGCATTTCAGAAAGACACGTGAAAGTTATAGACGATTTGCTGGGGAGCTTGCTATTGCACATCCAGGTCTCATTGGTTTGAAAAAAATAGGTCATGATCTTGATCAAGCATTGGCAAAGGGCATGACTGATATCTTCAACAATGCACAACAGTTATTCTGCACCCAACACCTTCAAGAAAGAGATGCCCACCAACTTCACATAATGGGATGTAATCAGAATACCAAAAATTCCATCCTCGCTGACATCTATGGGACCCAAAATGACGTACTGTTACAATGTGGGCTTGCAGATGCTGATGATGCCATTGATTTTGACACCAAGCTTGACAGTCTCAAGACTCTTTGGGAGATGAAAGTCCCTGGCTTCCATGCATGGTTCACAAAAAATAGAGGAGACTACTTCAAGAACAATCTGGTCATGACAGCAAGAGCAGAACTTGGGATAAATGGTAGATTCTATACAAATGGCCTAGAACTAAAGCACAAACTTCAGAAAAAGCACATCAAGGAAGCAGACATACCAAGAGAAGTCCATAACGTTAGCGAAGAACTTCAGAAGTGGTCCCAGGAGTTTATTGTGGAAGAAATAAGAGCCATTCGTGGCATTGGGAAGTACAGACTTGCGCCTGGATTCGACCAATTTGCTGTTGACCCTCATTTATGGAATCGATGGAGTGGAGACAGAAAGATGCAGCACATCAAGGCATACCGTGACTTTATACCAAAGGCCTATAACACTTACAAAAAACCAGCCTCTGCTGGCTACAAAGGTCACCAACAGACCAAAAGACGAGCCCAACAGCCTGAGCCACAACTGTTTGTGGAACGTATTCAGCCAACAGCTCAAGGAACTACAGCTCCCAAGCAGGTCACTCCTCTTAAACTGAGCAAGGGAGGAAATAGCACCTGGCAGGTAAAAAAATATCCAATTTTAGTTTTTAAAATAGCAATGATTATTTTCTGGTTGTCTGAGAAGCACGTATTTGTTACCTAATGTTTGGTTAACCAATGAAATTAAATAGGAATTATTAAAGAATATTTCTCAGTATTGCTATTCATGCATCTAAGTTTTTACAACTATGTACACTTAATAACATACATTGTAATTTGCAGGTACAGTCAAGTGCCACTACCAGCAGTTCATCTGATAATCCTCTGTTGATGCTTGACCCTGACAGAATCAAAGGGAAGCAATATGACTTAGTTCACCGACAAGACACCAAACTATGTCCAAAATCAGTGGCAAGATGCGAGCAGTGTCGAATTGCATTCAGTCAAACAGGTTGAGTACTTAGTTATTGTAAAGTAGAACAGCATGAGACATTTCAATTTCAATTTTCGTTTTGCAAACTTTTGTGGTGCCCATTCCATGCACTAAATATTTCAGCATCATAGACACCTTTCAATGTTTTTTACATACCATTTACATATGAAGATAATTACATGAAATAGTCCAAACCAGTTATTGTGGGCTAAAATTTATCGCAAAGGACTATAAATGACTGTTTGATTTTTATTATTATTGCTGAACAGACGTTGTCCTGGTAAAGACTGTTGGTGTTAGGGAAAGGACAGACAAAACAGGCAAGACAATTAGGTACTCTGGCAATGTTTACCTCCATTATCTGACGAAGTGCCTCCATGAATATGATAATGATTTTAAATTTGAGGCGATTAGAGTGCCAACGCAAACATTGAAACTACTGCCTAAAGGAAGTAGGGAAGCCTTTCAAAAGAAAGGCCTAAATGTTGAAAAAGAATAATGTTATATTTTGGTAAAGAAATTGCATTAAAGCAATTTTATTTAATCCGTGAAATAAAAACTAAATAGTTTTTAACAAATAGTTACTATTTTCTACTTCAATAAATGATAGCATTCAGGTTTTTATTTCACGGATTAAATAAAACTGCAAGATTAAATACACAGTGCCAGTTTTTACTGTTTGTAATTATACAAGTTTTGACTCTTTTGGCTGTACAAGTTAATAATTATCCTGTATGATGTTAAAATTGCCAATATGTCAAATCAGTTGATGGAATGCCTTTTTATAGTCGATGAGTATTTTGTGATATGGTTTAACTTATACTTTGCTCGACTTGAAAATCACAAAAGGTTTTGTTAGGCTTTTTGACAAGTCATTTGTTGGTTATTTCATGGCAACTCAAATGAATGATAACCATGGGAATGATTCCCTTTACTACATGGTATAATTTTTACATTAGCTATTTATACATGTGTATTATTCAATAAATTATACAACTAAACTTAGTTAATTAACTAGTTATTGACGTGTAAGCTTAATAAACAACTTCAACAAATTTTACGTGTAGTACGTAACTTATGTGTATTAATAATAAGCTTAATTATCTTGAACGGTTTCTTTTATGTTTGAAATTAAAATCATTTACTTACCTTTCAAGGCTTGGAGAGCTCTAATAAATGTATTTCCTTATAATTGTTTGAGATAAGAAATAAGCAACGTTATGCGTTCGACATCGTATCTGCATGCAAGTTACAAGACGAATAAGGCTTGGCTGCTTAGTACAAGTGCTACCAAAGGGAGCCCGATCGTAGTTTTCCCTGTCTTTTATAAGCCAACACATGTTTTTATTTTATTTGTAAATCATATAAAACGTCTTTCTACTTTTTACTAAATCATTTTAGGTAAGTCAAGCCTCAATTCAAAACCAAAACCGTTAGGGGGTTTCTTGCGTTTATAACGCTTAGTTTAACTGGCCCATAATCGTTCGGTCATTGGCGGGCCATTGTACATTTTTACACGTTTTTATTGAACATTGTCGATCATTGTAGTCTTGTAGTGTCATTCTACATTTTTATCGCTGGTTGTAGGTGGTTGTAGGTGGTTGTAGGTGGTTGTAGGTGGTTGTAGGTGGTTGTAGGTGGTTGTAGGTCGTTTTAGGTTGTTTTAGGTTGTTTTAGGTGGTTGTAGGTGGTTGTAGGTGGTTGTAGGTGGTTGTAGGTGGTTGTAGGTGGTTGTAGGTCGTTCCTCGTTTTAGTAACTACCGAATAAATAACCAGTTGAGTCAACCACTTCCCTCGCCGTTCATACATCAAATCCAAGTGCTTTAAGTAGCATTTTCGGTGGAGCTAACATCAGCAAAATATCCGACTGTCCGTTCAAAATATTCAAAGGTACAGTCAAGATCCAACAACGGAAAAATCGAGAGTGAAGATGAAAATTGAACATTCGCTAAAATCACTGCAAGGTCTGCACGTGTTGACGTTTTCAATCGTCTTAATTTTGACGTACTTTCCAACTATTTTTACAAACTTTTGGATGTTCTGAAACTTTTTAAACTAAATTACCGTGTTTTGTGGAATAAAAACGGTTTTGTGACATAAATTGTGCTATAAATTAAACACATTTTCAAACAAATTGTTGTATTTTTTCGACACTGGACATGACATTGAATGAACAAATGCGCGCGCAGGAGGAAGTGTTAAATCACTTCCGTTCTTTTATTTTGTTCACGTTGTATATTTTATATTTTTTTTATTAAGAGAGCCATATAATAAATAACTTATTAACCTCGTCCGTTCGGTCATTACAGGGAAATCTCAGACCTCGGTCTTGTTTGTATGGACCTCGCTATCGCTCGGTCCATACTTCCAAGACCTCGGTCTGAGATTTCCCTGTAATGACCTCACTCTCGGTTAATAAGTAGTATATATATGATCATATTCTAGTAATGTCACTGTACCAGAAAATACATGATTATGACTTTGAATTAAAATAGAAGTATTGTATTTCGTACTCTAAGACTCGTTCCTTAATCCAAAACTTGGGTTTTCTCGACGATGTTTTCCTTCCTCGGACTTATAATCATCTCAATGTACCTCAAACTGTCGGATCGACATGTGTTCTGTACGAGCAGAAATAGTCGATAAGATGCTTTCATCTTCTTTCCCATCCTCTTTATCATGTGTTTCATCAACTTCACCACCATCACATTTATCGTCATCATCAATTCTCCTCGTGATCACAGCATATTCACTTCCCAGTTACAGTCRCATCAGATTTTAAACGCTCTTCCTGATTTTAGCCTGCGTTACATCCGGAATATTCTTCGTTGTGAAATTTCCGGGATGTAACGCAGGCTACCTGATTTGASCGCTTTTTACTCTTCGTTTTCTTTTTTCCGTTCTCCAAATACTGGACAACCAGTCATAATTTTTCATAACAATATTTCAGTCGTGCTGACTCTCTAGTTTTTCATTGTTCCGTTTAGCTTTAATAAAAGTCAACGAAGAAGAAGTATAATACTTTAAAAATAGTATMATTACTTCAATTCAAAAAGCAAAATCAACAAACATCCATTTCGATATGTTCACCTTACCCTCCTCTCTACACGAAAGCTTTCTCAGCAAGACTCTTGGCTGAAACTTTTCTGCCCTAAGGCGTGTTTCGTTTAAGATAGGRTTACGCAATTAATTCTCATGATTCCGTAATTATCAAACAGAACCGGTCCAGGAAATATAGAGTTGTCGTCTGAGAGAGTACTGACTGGACGTAAAAGTGAACACAACTTCGAAGAGAAAATGTTGCCCGCAAGCGAATTTTGTAAATAATTAACTTCATAATCTATCTACAATCTTACTACAGCAGGATTTGCATATGTAAGCATTTGTTTCATTTGGCACGTACAAATGAGCCTGCAGTTCCGCGGCATACTGTACACCATATTCCTGCCGTTAAACGGCCTCGCCTTGTGGTTCCCAGTGTACTTTTCCCTGCGTGACTAAGTGTGTTTACGGGCTTTTGCAGCACGTGCCTATGTTATTGGTTGAGCAACAGACTCCCGAACACACACAAGTTCGTTTATCATAAAATAGATCGTAATTGTCATTGAACTTTGCTGAAATGCAACTAAAAACTGTGATTGAAAAGTTTGACAGAACGCGGAACTGCAGATAGGTAACCCACCTTACTCCAACGCTTTTATCTCAAATTATACGCCCTCTTGAAATTCACATATATATTTTGATCCTCATTTTTTTGCTGAACATCAATTTTTGATAAATTTTATATTCGAAAGCTTTTAGCATTTGGGTTGCCTGTGATATTCTAGG